TGGTCAGCTTCCTTGATACGTTGTGAGCTAGAGTGTGGATTCTCTAGTCCCTATTTCAGAGAAAGGGTCTTAATTTTGAGGCTCTCAGATTTATGCAGGGCGTTTTATTTCAGTTCTCTGTTGCTGCAGACTAGGGAGTTCATCTCCACTTCCCATATATATATATGTATATGTATGTATATGTGTGTATGTATATAAAGAGCACAAGAACCATTTTAGTGTAATTTAGCAACAAATCAGTTATATGTAATTATAATAATAACAGTAATGAGTATGGTACTTCCTTTATACAATCAACTTTTGAATTATCATTGAGAAAAAATAGTAGTTGACATTTATTGAACATTTTCAGTGATCCAGGAACTGTGTTGAAGCATTCTGAGGATGTTCTCATCTAATTTTCACAACTCTGTTTGGGGTAGGTGCCATTACTGCCTCAATTTTACAGAAGTGGAAATTAAGAATTAAAGGGTTAACTTGACCAAAGTCATATAATTGGTAAACGATGGTGTCGGTATTCAGACCCAGTCTATCTGACTTTAGGGTCCACATATGTAACCACTTCATATCTCATCTTACGTAGCCTCAGTAGGCAAACAGGGCATATTGTGTATCCATAGTATCTCTTAAAAATCATTAGGGATCTCTTAAAAATCACACAGGGGCCAGGCATGGTGGTTCACGCCTGTAATTCCAGCCCTCTGGGAGGCTGGGGCAGGCAGTTCATTCTAGCCCAGGAGTTTGAGACCAGCCTGGGCAACATGTTGAAACCCCGTGTCTGCAAAAAATTTTTTAAAAAAATTAGCTGGGTGTGGTGGCATGAGTTGTAGTCCCAGCTACTCAGGAGGCTGAGGTGGGGAGATTGCTTGAGCCCAGGAGGTGAAGGCTGCAGTAAGCTATGATCGTCCTACTGCATTCTAGCCTGGGCAACAGAGCAACACCTGTCTCAAAAAAAAATTAAAATTAAAGAAAAAAACCATTAGGGGGAAGAAAAAATACTACCATGTAAAAATGGACAAGGGCCTGGGATAAGCCATTTACAACAGAATACACTCAGTAATAAACATACGAAAAAATGTTTAAACTCATTAATAATCAAATACTAATTACAATAAGATGCTGTTTTCTTTCTGTACTGCAAAAGAAGCAATAGAATGAAGAGACAACCCATGGTCTGAGAGAAAATATCTGCAAATCATATACTGGATAAGGGGCTGACATCCAACTCAAAGTACTCAATAACAAGAAAACAAATAACCTTACTAAAAATTGGGCAAAGGACTTGAATAAACATTTCTCGAAAGACAACATACAAGGTCAGGCATGGTGGCTCATGTCTGTAATCCCAGTGCTTTGGGAGGCTGAGGTGGGAGGATCTCCTCAGCGGGAGTTTGAGACCAGCCTGGGCAACACTGTGAGCCTCTGCTCTACAAAAAAATTTTAAAATGAGCTGGACACAGTGGTGGGTGCTTGTAGTTCCAGCTACTCAGGAGGCGGAGGTGGGAGGATCTCCTGAGCCTGGGAGTTCGAGGCTGCAGCGAGCTAATGACTATGCCACTGCACTCCAGCCTGGGGACAGAGCGAGACCCTATCTCTAAAATACTTAAACAGTATAAAATCACTATAAAGAGCATTTTATTAGTTTCAGAAGACAAGATCTTAATCTTATCTTTGACTATGGCTGTGTGGCCTCCCACTTCCTGTGCTTCACCCTGTTCCATCAAAAGTCTGTCCCTTCTACTTGGGAGAGGTACTATGAAGTACCAGGAAGAAGGGTGCCTGTTAACCTTTGTGCAGATGTTTCTGAAGGGCAGAGGTCATCTGAGGGAGGTCTAGAGATCAAGCAGGAGATAAGGGTCGGTATTCCATGTCGCTGGAGCCATTCCCTTCTGGGATTCCTTAATCCTTTAGGCAGATCATGTCAGCAACTCATTCAGGAAGTTCTGGCCTTTAAAATCCACATCTCCATGACTGTAAGAAGCTCTTAAAGCCCTCAATGCTCTCATACTTTTACAGCTCACAGAAAACATTTATGTTTGACTCTTTGTCCCATGAAAGTATGAAACATAAATACATTTATTAAGAAACACACTAGGCCAACTAACTCTAGCCCTCTGGTATGGCTGTAGAAATCATAGCCATTCTAATTCATCACAGCTTGTCTTACGGTGCACAGTACAAGAGTAGCAAAACCGGCCCTTCTGGTTTTTAACTAACTGATTTCTATTAAGCAAATGGTGCCAAACCGGATTTGTTATACTCATGGTTCCACTTTCAACCCCTGTGGTCTCTCACTTTAACTCCTTTCAGAAAGCTGCTATCATCATTGACCCCATTAGTGCCGTCTTCTTTTTACCTTCACTGGGGACATCAAGTGTCTAACAACTATGTACTGCCAATGTCCTTAGTCAGGGAGTATACAGGGTGAGGCGCTTTGCTTTTTCTTTTCCTAAGTAGGAACACTTGGGGAAAGTGATACACCAAGTTACAGATCCTCTGGAAGCAATCCCTTCTAACGTTCTGAGTTTGGGAGAGAGTAGAGAGTTGGGAAGAAAGGAATGTTCTGGTTTCCTTTGCTCCCATTGAGAGCAGTGGTGACCCAGAGCTGCCACTGAGCCTAACTCAGATGGCTTGGGAAGTGATGGTGTGTGTGTAGCTCCTGGGCACAAGGAAGGTACCCCAGCAATGGCCACGCAAGTTTGCCATGAGAAACCTTTCCAGGGCAAGGTACCATCCAATGAGAAGCAGAAACACAGACTGTCTCAAGGCTGAAAACACCTAAAGCCATCTGGTTTGGTGGTTTGCATGCAATCTCTTGTAGCCATAGAAACTTTTCTTCAAACAGCAGAGCCTAGTATGTCAAACTCATACAAGCATAGTTGCTTTCTTGGAATTGCAGTGGGGAGAAGAATAAAGCCCCGCAAACTGCCTTCCCCATGGCTTCTGAATAGAGCTGGACACTATATTCTTTTCCTTGGTTGGGTATTACCTCACCTGGAAAACCTGGCAAAGGAAATGAAGAAATTTTCTGCTACCTGGGGCAGGGCGAAGAGAGAAGCAATGTCCTGAAACTTTAATTCTACCCTGATAAAATTTGCCATCATATTATAAATTGGGCAACATATTATAAATTGGGCAACATATTATAAAGTGGAGATTGCAATTGTCAGAAACGTAGCATAACTGTCAACAGCATACTAAACTATGTGATACTGAAATGTGAGTTACACTTCTAGTTGTCTAGTTCTGGTATAAGAAATACAAGTTCTTTACCAACACTCAACCCACAGAATACAATGAACTCTTACATGTCCTGCCCTTACTCCCATACACAACTTTCAGCCTCATACACTTATGAATAAAACAAATACTCCATAGGGCAGTAGGCATAAGCAGAATGCTAGGTTTGAAAAGCAAATCAGATCTACTGTTTAAGGTCATATGTTGACATTAGAATGAAGAATAAGTCATTACAAAGCATTTTTCTCACCTGTGGTTCTAATTGCTACAGGTGTTTGCTGAGGGTTGAATAGAGAGCATGCAGCTCAGACACTGTTGATATGGTACACATTCCTCCTAAGTTTAGGACTAAATCCCAGCCAGTACAGGGACTCAGACTCATCTATCAAAGTCCGGTGTGCACATTAGGAAAAAACCTAAGAAAGATCATGTGCATTTAACACCTTTCCCTCTAACCATTCCAAGGAGCTTCACATTGCAGCCCTTTTTCACCTTTGTTAGGCACACCAAGTGGCCTGGAAGATGCTGAGAACAAAGAGGCTTTCTTCCTTGGGTTACCGGTTGAAATTCATCATCAATTCAGCCCAGCTCAATCAATGGTGATGGCAGCTCGCAGACCCAACTCACGCGGGGGAGAGTCAAGGCCTCCTTACATCACTGTACCAGGACTCCTTCAGGCACTAGCTCTCCCACAGCTCCTGTGCCACCCAGAGGAGTATAAAGACCTGTGACAGAATGTAGGACACCGCCTAGAGCACAGCATTTGTGCCACGGTCCGAGAACTGCAAACTAGAGTTGCCAACATTTGGAGACATTAAGAAAGTTAAATGTGAAATGTTGTGGATAAATGCCCAGGATGTACAGCCCTCCAATATTTCAATTAACATAGACTATCATCACATAAAGCAGGGCTTCGGAGACCGGAAAACTGGGCTGTTTTATTTTAATTTTCTAACAACATCCACGGAGCACTGACTCTGTGACTGGCACAGAACTAAGCTCCTGACACAGATTATCTCTTTAACTCCTCACAAGACCCTTTGGTAAGTACCATTTTAACCCAGTTTTACAAATGAGGAAACCCCTGGGGCTTAGGTTAAGTAGCTGGTCCAGGCCCAGAGCTGACAAGCGGCGGCCAAATGTGAACCCAGCTGGGTAGAGCTGTGCTGTACTTCCTGTGCTTGAAATTTAATGCAGATGCCAGCACCCTCAATTAATGGAATAATTGTGAAGCTAAAACAAAATCAACATTTAAAACAGTGCCTTCCACATAGTAATGGACATTGCTCATGCTTAAGTGCCCAATATTAAGGAAACAAATATTATTTAGCTTTTTTTGGTGAAGGACACAATCATACAATATACACAAATATCTAATATTAGCTGGTTGCAGACAGTCTAAAATGATCGCTGCAACTAAAAAAAAAAAACTCAGAAATGTTTCTGAGAATCAGAGGAGTGTGAATAAACAACACTATTCTACCAAAGCAATATAATAAAAAATTGTTAAAATAAAAAAAAAAAAAACCCTCAAGTAGTTATAATACAGATAAGTGTAGTCTTTGGAAATGATTTAAAATTTCATTTTGATGTCTAAATTATAAAGCCTCAAATTAATCATTGTAAGTTGTTTTAATAAAGTTGAAAGTTTAGCACCTAGTGAAGTAACTTATGCATAGTAGGTTTCCAATAAATGATTCTGGAATGAATGACTAAATTCATAAAGGCACTTTTGAAAACAGACAGACATTGTCCTTTCCTTGTGTTTGGATTTTTTTTTTAATTCCATGATAAAGGTTGCATGACATTTCCTTATAAGTAATTTTTGTAAAGGAATCCCAGGATCTCCGGTTCAAACAAAGGAAATAACGATCACCTTGAAAGACAAAAAGAAATAATTGGCTAAAATAATTAAAAACGGAAGTGTTTGTCTTTACAGTGAAATATGGGGATAAAAAAAGTAGCAGCTTCTTCAAAATATCTTTATTAACATTTGAGAAAATATAAAATGATTCTCTAGGCAACAGCATGAAAACACATGAAATAAGTGGGTACATTTAAGCCACTGTGACTGGTGAAGAAGACATTTCCCTGTACATATAATTAATATAAACAGGTAAATTCAGACCAATAAAACACCTCTTTCTCAAAAGCATTTTAGTGCCCTGTGTTACACTGGAGACTCAGTAGTTGAACAAATATGTGCTCAAAAATAGCTATTCATTCTTTAACAGTACTTAAAAAAACTAATATGAACATAAAAACACAAATTACTCCATTATTTCCATAAGGTAAAATATTAGGTTAAAACTATAATGGCCAAACTGTTTAGTAAACCTCTGTCCTATTTCAAAGGTAAATAGATAAATAAGAGACAGGTCTATGGAAAACAAAGAAGATGTCTAGCAACACTTTTTACATCATTTCAACAGAACCAACAGCAAATCTAAGGTTCCCCAAGCATTTCCCACTTATTAGGGAAATCGATAGCACTACCTGCGGGGTGCCTGCGGTTGCTTTTGCATAAGGCTTTTATCTCATTTTAGCAACATTTAAAAAATGCAGGATGTCTATAACCTTGGCACTCATCATTACGCTGGCATCTTTAGTACAATTTGCTAATAGAGTGAAAGCACTGTGGTTCAGTTTGGGAAGCTTCTTCATAAGGTTCTGCCAAATTGCAAAGGGGATGGAACAAATAAATAGGCTGACTGTGCGTACATCAGAAAAAGCAGACCCTTAAAATCAAAAAGGGAGCTATTCATTATTTCAGAAACACATTATTTTACAAAAGAAGAAAGAAAATTGAGGGGATTATATTTTCAAAAATATAAGAACTATAAAATAATCTAAATTGAATTTCATTTGTCCTATCTAAACCCATCCTACACCGATACATCATTTCTATAGACAAAGCGGGTCAGATGTGTTAGAATAACATATATACATATAAAACATACTAAGCCATGGATTTAATTTTCACAACTATCTCATTTGCCTAAATGTTTGGTACTAAGTGGTAGAAATAGAAAACAAAATGTTCACACCTGAGAAGATTACATATTAAACCGCCCGAGGTTTTAGCCTCATACTTGCTGGAAGAGATCTGCAAGGAATGAAACCTGGATGCCTGCGGATTCCACATGTGACAAAGCATTTTTTTGAAAAAGCATTCAGAAGGCTTGCTTTCGACTACGCAAAACAAAGCATACATTTTAAAGGCCAAACGTCAGTCAGTAAAACTCAATTCCCGTAGTTCTCCTGGTTCCAATGATCTTGAAGAGCATAGGTACCTGACTCAATTTATGCCATTTTTTATGCTTAAAAATATAAACATTTTTTCACATTTACAAAATATGCCCGATATATATTACTTGAGACTAATCTTAGCCATCAGAGCTGCCTTTTGTTTTCAGCTTTGTATTTCTGAGAAACTAACGAATCTATGGTGCAGATACAGCCAAAGTGGAAATAAATTCATAGTCTGGGGCAGCAGTATAATTGGGACACAGTAATCTTACGATGAAAAGAAATAGTACACCAGCACTATAAAGGAAAACTAGTTGCATAATATTTTCCAGAGTCTGATTACTTTTTTGTTTAAACTTTTCTATTTTTTTCATTGTTTTAAAATGCATTTGCTACTTAGGAGAAAAAGGAAGAGATGGTTATGGTGTGAATCTTGAAAGATCCCCAAAGCTAGAAAGATCTATACAGAAGTCTCTCATTTTCCAACTTCTGTTATAAAGTTCCTGCACTTGTACTTCGAAAAAAACCAAACCTGGAAGGAAGCTCTACCTAGTTTACTTTCTGAGTTCGGATTTCCGCATCTATCATACAGGTTCTTTCTAGCGCTCTTTCCTCCTCACATCTCCAGAGAAACACGCACATTTTTGCAGACACACACGATGTATCGATCACTGCACACACAGGTTCATCAACACCATGACAGAGGCGACACTTCACAATATGATAGCCGGAACAGAGGACGATGACAGTAAGAAATGGGTTTCTTTTACAGCCCGCTTGGATCCCTAATGCCCTTATTTCTACACAATCCAGCCTCAGCCAGGAACTTTAAAGGATCAGAAAGACAAAACAGGTTGCATGAAAGGAAGAGAAAGAAAACCGAATGCCCGCTTTTCGAGAGCACTGCAAAATTAGCCCCGGGACCCGGCTGCGCAAAAGTGCAGCGTTAAAGAATGCCAGCCCATATTCTAGACACCCAAGTAAAGCATCCTGCAATAGAGAGAAGTAAATAATAAATAATAGTGGTTTTTGCCATTAAGCATAAGAATAGTAATAACAATTGTCACCACGGCGTTCCGTACAGCAGCTGCACGTGGAGCCGGCTTCTCCTCCGGCCCCCACGGCCCGCAGCCTCCCCTGCAGCCCCCCAGGGCGGCTGAGTAAGGAGAGAGGACTTCGCGCGGGCCGCGCACTGGGCTGGGCTGGCCCCTCCCCTCCCGGGGCCCGCCCTGCCGGTCCCGCCCCGGCGCCTGCGCCTGCGCGTCAAGTGGCTGGGCTGGCTTAGCGGATCCTGGTTGCTAGGGTGTGTCTCCTTGGCCTCCTAGAGGGTGGGGATCCGTGGTGCTTCTTCGGGAACAGCCTCCTGCAGGAAGACCCGCCACCTCGCTGGACCTTTACCTCGCTGCCTAGATTCCGAGGAATAGGAGATAGGAGACGAAAAGCCAGTTGGTTTGGGAAGCGGCTGATTATCCTAAAGGGTAGTGTGGGAGTCCAGCACTTCCGTGCACCTCTTTGGGTACTACGGAAGGGAGATTTCCAGCATCGACTGGAATATATGACCAGGGAGTAGACCTTGAGCGCTTGTGTGCAGTTATCTTTTGGCGGTAAACGGCCCATTTGTGCAGTTCCAGGGTGTTCCCTTCTAGGCTATCAATGGAGTAGTGCCGTGCCAGGCACTTTTGATGTTGCCCTGCAAACTAAAAGCACATTTTGGGGGTGCATCTTCTGGCATCATTTCTAAACAGCATGAGTTGGGATCCAGCAGCCCTGGGAAACCTCATTATAGTGAAACCTATCTTATTTTAGGATTGAATGGTTTTGGCCCAAGCATAGTGGTTGAAAAACAAGCCATTACAGAAAGAAGACAATTTGTTTGTGAATGGTTAGATATGGTGGGTCTTCAGAGGCTTATCTAATGAAGAGATCGTCTACACATTTCTGACCAAATTCTTTCTACATTTATAGTGGTAACATTTTGGAGGGAGAGAAAAAAATGTCATTTCGACTATTCTGAAAAATCAGTATTTACTAGTTGAAACAGCATTGGCAAATTGAACTTTGTACTAGCATGGAAAATTGTAGAAGGATCCTGGGTAGTAATAATACACATATTTTTAAAATTATATGTTTACTTATAACCCTACATTTTAACTGGATTCTTTCTATTAATAGAAGTTTTAAAGAATTATTTTCTTACCGTCTTTTTTTTTCATAAAGGAATTCTGCTTGGATTCAGTAGAATATTGCAACAGAATGATTTTCATTAAGATGTAATCTAAATTCTTATTTTTCAACAATTCAAACATATTCAAAACCTTTTCAATTCTCACTTACACCAAGGATTATGAAAAACAGCACTTACTATTCATTAACATGCGAAAGCCCCCACTACTTCTTCGAAGACCCTTACCTCCAAAATTCACTAAGCCGTCTTTACATGAGATAAAAACCCGTACAGGTATGTGTATTAATCAGATATGTGTATTAACATTTATGTATCTTTCATAGAAATTCCTTGACTTGCACAGCTCAGAATCGCAATAAATACACTCACTAATAACTTACAAATGTTTGTTGTCAGATGAAAGCATCCAATTCAAGCCTACAGATGCATTTATTGATACTTATTGGTGGACTTAGTAGGTTCAAGTTTACCTCATCGATAAAATTTACTTCTAACCCCAGAATTGGTACTCATAGGGCTTTCTCAGTCGTGCGTGGATGTGTGCAGAGCACTGAAAAATTTGAGTCACTCAACACCCATGCCCCAGCTGAGGTGGAACAAAGCTACCTCTGCCTTCTTCTTTCAGCTCTCATGTTGTAAACAGGTACTGTGTTCCCTGTCTGTTTAGTGCTATGTTTCTTGAATGTTTTGTGCTTTTAGTTAGTGATTTCACTGTGGGCTCCAAGCATAGTGCTGAAGTACTGTCTAGTGTTCCTGAGCACAAGAAGGCTGTGATGGGCCTTACAGAGAACAAGATATGTGTTAGATAAGCTTCCTTCAGTCATGAGTAGTGTTGTTGGCCCTGAGTTCAATGTTAACAAATCAACTGTATATATTTATTAAAGTGTCTTTAAATAGAAACAAATATAAAACAAAATTACATGTTGATCAGTTGATGAAAATGTTGAAACCAGAGGTTTGTAGGAACCTAGCCCCATATTTCTCCTAGGAGAAATGGTTGAGTAATGAGTAATTCATTGTTTGCAGAACAGAACTACCACAAATAACGAGGACTGAATATATTTAGTGAGCAAAAACAGACCTTACCAGTTCCCTTCAGTAGTTACCCACTGGGATAGTGATTGTAATCAATCAATCATGTAAGTAAATGTAAAATTGCCCTGTGATAAGTGCTATAAAGTAAATATGAGCCACTTTTATAACTATAACTTTATATAATACTTAATCCTCTATTTCTGTGTATGGTTTCTATTCCCTCCTTATTATAAGCAATACAATTAGCATATTTTCTCATTTTCCCCTTCTTAGTCTCCTCTTCCATCTGATTTTAGTTGATTGCAGTTTTAGTGTCAACATTTATACGGTTCAAATATACCTAGTCTATAACTTGATTTATAATGTTAAATTATCATCTTTTGACCTATGGCTATTAACAATATGTAACTCAACTTACCTGTAATACTGCCACAATTTCCTCTCTTACTTTCTCTCCCAACTTTTGTTACTTGATTTCTACCTCATCATTTCTACATTTCTAGAATGTTCTGCATGTACAATCTGCTCTGTAATAATACAGTATGCTGATTTACAGCTCAAGATTACCAGTTATCTTGTAGTTTCTCTATTCATCTTTTGTTTAAAGTTTATCTTCTAGTACAGAATTTCACAACCTTGGCACTATGGACATTTTGGGCTGGATGGTTCCTTATTTGGTGGGGAAAGCAGAGCTCTCTTGCTCCAAAGGCTCTTGACAAAGGGCTTTGCACATAGTAAGTGCTCGAAATTTTTTTTTATTTATTCTAAAAAAAAAAAACCAAAACAAACAAACAAAAAAAAACAGGATACATGTGCAGAACGTGCAGGTTTGTTACATAGGTATACGTATGCCATGGTGGTTTGCTGTACCTATTTACCCATCCTCTAAGTTTTCTCCCGTCACTCTCCACCCCCTAACAGGCCCTGGTGTGTGTTGTTCACCTCTCTGTGTCCCTGTGTGTTTTTTTTTTTTTTTTTTTTTGAGACGGAGTCTCACTCTGTTGCCTAGAGTGCAGTGGCCGGATCTCAGCTCACTGCAAGCTCCACCTCCCGGGTTTACGCCATTCTCCTGCCTCAGCCTCCCGAGTAGCTGGGACTACAGTCCCTGTGTTTTCAATGTTCAACTCCCACTTATGAGTAAGAACACACGGTATTTGGTTTTCTGTTCCTGTGTTAGTTTGCTGAGGATGATGGCTTTCAGTTTCATCCATGTCCCTGCAAAGTACATGATTTCATTCTTTTTTATGACTGCATAGTATTCCATGATGTATATGTACCACATTTTCTTTATCCAGTATGTCATTGACAGGCATTTGGGTTGGTTCCATGTTTTTGCTATTGTGAACAGTGCTGCAATAAACATACGTGTGCATGTGTCTTTACAGTAGAATGATTTATATTCCTTTGGGAATATACCCAGTAATGGGATTGCTGGGTCAAATGGTATTTCTGGATCTAGATCCTTGAGGAATCCTTATACTGTCTTCCACAATGGTCGAACTAATTTACGTTCCCACCAACAGTGTAAAAGTGTTCCTATTTCTCCACAGTCTTGGCAGCATCTATTGTTTCCTGACATTTTAATAATCACCATTCTGACTGGCGTGAGATCGTATGTCATTGTGGTTTTGATTTGCATTTCTCAGATGATAAGTGATATTAAGCTTTTTTCCATATGTTTGTTGGCCACATAAATGTCTTCTTTTAAGAAGTGTCTGTTCATATCGTTCACCCACTTTTTGATGGGGTTTTTTGTTTTTTTCTCACAAATATGTTTAAGTTCCTTGTAAATTCTGGATATTAGACCTTTTTCAGATAGGTAGATAGCAAAAATTTTCTCTCATTCTGTAGGCTGCGTGTTCACTCTGATGATAGTTTCTTTTGCAGTGCAGAAGCTCTTTAGTTTAACTAGATCCCGTTTGTCAATTTTGGCTTTTGTTGCCACTGCTTTTGGCATTTTTGTCATGAAGTCTTTGCCCATGCCTGTGTCCTGAATGGTATTGCCTAGGTTTTCTTCTAAGGTTTTTATGGTTTTAGGTCTTACATTGAAGTCTTTAATCCATCTTGAGTTAATTTTTGTATAAGGTGCAAGGAAGGGGTCCAGTTTCAGTTTTCTGCATATGGCTAGCCAGTTTTCCCAACACCATTTACTAAATAGGAAATCCTTTCCCGATTGCTTGTTTTTGTCAGGTTTGTCAAAGATCAGGTGATTGTAGATGTGTGGCATTATTTCTGAGGTCTCTGTTCTGCTCCGTTGGTCTATATGTCTGTTTTGGTAACAGTAACATGCTGTTTTGATTATTGTAGCCTTGTAGTATAGTTTGAAGTCAGATAGGGTGATGCCTCCAGCTTCATTCTTTTTGCTTAGGATTGTCTTGGCTATATGGGCTCTTTTTTTGTTCCATATGAAATTTAAAGTAGTTTTTTTCTAATTATGGGAAGACAGTCAGTGGTAGCTTGATGAGGATAGCACTGAATCTATACATTACTTTGGGCAATATGGCCATTTTCATGATGTTGATTCTTCCTATCCATGAGCATGGTACGTTTTTCCATTTGGTTGTGTCCTCTCTTATTTTCTTGAGCACTGGTTTGTAATTCTCTTTGAAGAGGTCCTTAATATCCCTTGTAAGTTGGATTCCTAGGTATTTTATTCTCTTTGTAGCAGTTGTAAATGGGAGTTCACTCATGATTTGGCTCTCTGTTTGTCTGTTATTGGTGTATATGAATGCCTATGATTTTTGCTTATTGGTTTTGTATCCTGAGACTTTGCTGAAGTTGCTTATCAGCTTAAGGAGACTTTGGGCTGAGACAATGGGATTTTCTAAAAATACAATCATGTCATCTGCAAAAAGAGACAATTTGACTTCCTCTTTTCCTGTTTGAATACCCTTTATTGCCTTCTCTTGCCTGATTGTGCTGGCCAGAACTTCCAATATCAGGTTGAACAGGAGTGGTGAGAGAAGGCATCTCTGTTTTG